TTGTTTTATCATAGCTTATGACGCACCACGCGTACTACTTTCATTTTTGCGAGAAAGAAGACGGTTAATTTGAAGTGAAGAGCTTATCATCAATTATACGATCTATACTATGTTTCCATGGTTTAATAAAAGTTGCGTTTTATATCATTTTTTTAATGCACTCGATACTCTTGGGCTCCTCTCCGGCCAATAAATCGAAGAACACGTTTTCGTGAGTCATGAAACCGTTCAACTTTGTCCTGCCTCATTTATCATTAATGAACGAACCCAATGACGATGTCCTCACGTCTTAAATACTCTTTGGATTTCCGAATTATTTGATCAAAAATAATGTGCATGCATCTATCTAAACCAGTCCATTTGGCACCCCAAGTTATCCAGCTAGGGTGCATCTTTTTGAGGTCTGTCACAAAATGCTCCAGACTTTGTTTACTCCCTTGGTAATGCAAAGGCATCAGCATTGCTCACCTTAATTTGAACTTTTTCGGCCAGTCTGTACAGCAATTTCTACAAACAAACACCATCTCTGTGGCAATTGCCTTGGGCGATTCTGCCTCTCGCATTGGTCTGGGATGAAAAAGGGGCCGTCTGGGTCTTAGTTAACTGCCTTTTAGTCGGTTTTACGTACTTGCGCAAATTACAGGGCAATATTTATATTGCATCTTCTGTGTCACTTCTATGTATTAATTAAACGCATTTGCACGTGCGTGCGACGGTGTGATTATTGGTTATTTGCGTTTCACACTTCCCGATGCTTGGTGAATTTCGCTTCCCCGGTGTGTGAGCATTCGTATTTGGAGGGAAGAACTTCGAGGATATTTCTCTTTGTACAGCCAAGGGATTGAGGTCATTCGCTAGCTTAAGACTAAATTATCTGATATCGGTTCCTAACGCAGGTCCACTTAATCTGTTTAAATCTTTCGAGAATGAATGTAAGAAGTTAAATGTCTAATATGTTGCGTGATATTCGTATAAAACGAATAAACCTTCTCATTCATTCAATTTCCTTTTGTTGATCGGTAAAGCCAGTTTGCAATGCTATGTGTGAGGTAAAAGGAGTCTTAGATAAGGATAATTTAAAACATTCGTCAAAGACGACAACAAGTAATTACCCCGGATGCTAGTCCATTCCCAATGTTTAGGTTATCCTGAGAATCAATTTCTATTTCTTTGGTTACTGGAACTACTCCCTAAATATATCAGAAATGTGTTGATTTAATTAGATCTAGTTTAATTCATTGTATTTCTCACTAGTGCCCTTGTAACGAGAAATACGTTTTCCCTTCGTCTTAAACCAGTGAGTTCTTTGTGGAATTTCGCTTGCAGGAGTTATGGTGCCTAACTGAGTTCAACCTTTGCCTTCGTTACTGCGGGGGTTTAATTCTAGACCACAGGCAATATTTACGACTACGAGTTGAGAGATTATCTGACTAAATGTAAAAAATCGGACTGCGCTTCTCAGCATCTCATTATTCTCGCCGATTTTGATTAGCACTGTATTCTAAAAGTTTTTTTTCCCTGGATTTTTGTGCTAATACTGATAGTAACCGTTTTCCCTATTTCATTAATGGACTCTCCTTTTTTACTAGTTCCCTTCATCGTATGTGGACATTAAGAAATCAGTTCAGTAGTACGCATAACGATGCATCCTGAGAGCTGCCATCGCAAAGGAATAAATAGTCATGACAAACTCGAAATTTATGCAAATTTGTCGATTCAAAAAGAGCAAATTTCTATATTTACTTCTTGTGCTCTTTCGTGGTGTTATTTCGCATATTCTTCCTTTGTTTTTAAGGCAGTGGTTTTTATCACGAGTTCCAGATTGGCATTTGTACGCATCACATCTGACCGGAGGCCCGAACTAGGTGCCTTTAGTCTGAAAATGTTTGCCAGATAGAAGAATAAGTAGGTCACCAGTTCGTTACAGGAGACTTGGCGGTGTCTTGATTTGCTACCACTCCCATTCCTGAGGTGAGCGTCGCGAGGATGACTCATACATGGAGGTTGATCCTACTTTTTCAATCTCCTATCATTCGTCACCACAAAAGCTGTTCTGAACTGCCACTTGATATAATTTGCATTTTCTTCTACCAATAATGGCAGTTTTAAAAAAAGTGGTGAAAAAAGTGGCCATAAAATTTTGGCACCCAATTTTTATGACTCAGTATTGCCGGCGTTTTTGGAACGACGAAGGTCATGATGAGCTGAGCTGTAGTCAAACATTCTAAGACAAATGTGGGTGCCGGTTTGATTAAAAAGAAACAACAGTTAGTAAATAGAAAGTCAAAACCCGCAAAAATTTAGAACTCTGGTGGTGTATATGGTTCTGCACAGATTACCTTTCGAGCCACAAAGGCAAAGGGCTGAAGGCTTAGAAACGCTAAAACGGTTTATCGTCAGATGGTTACTATTTTAACTCTCACAAGATTTCTGTGGGCATTTAAAGATTGTTTAATTAATCTGACTTGTGCTTCAAACATTACTAAAACAGAGTGGACTCTGTTCCTGCAATATCCAATGCCAATAGGTAATTGTTTTTTTACTCGCATACTTGGTTAGACTAAACCTACACTAATAACTGTTAACGTTTCGAAACACTTGGCACCTTTAGATGGACTGTTAACGCGATCCCCATTCAATGATCCTCAGTGGTTTGTTTTGAGTTTATCTGCTAGGCGCCGAGGCTGTTTTCGGTCCCTTGTGGACCCCCTGAAATTGACTTTTAGATGATTTAGGGGTTCCACTTTTGGGATTCCCGGCTGCCACATCAGTCAGAATGAAGACGTCACTATAACACCAACCGAACTGAAGCATTAAAAGCTAGGATAGTACATTATGGCTTTGAAAGACTTCTAGGATTCGATGTATTAATGAAACAATTTCCACTTGACGACTTGGCTCCATGGGTAAAATTTATGTCCTGCAAGGAGACAAACAAATGCGGTATTATTCTGACTATCAGCAGTACGCTCTGGCATTGCAATAACAGATATTCATTAGTTTTAGATTAAGCGCTCTTGAAATTGAAGAAGTGGAATAGATACAAAGGAAGAGATGTCAAAACAACTGCCTGATAAAATTCATGATCCGCGCATCTGCGATAGTGCTTTGTAGCTTCCTTGTTCCTTTCTTCTATGATCTTGCATTTATTTTCGAGGACATTTTCCTATGAGTAGACTCGGTTTTGTCAAACTGTTCAGAGCCTTACATTTACACATTTGATTCTTCTAACGGAACACTAAAGTATTACCTATCACAGTCGTTCGAGACTTACTAGTCCACTAGTTCTCAAGAGAAATGCTTCAAGTCCATCTCATCTCGAGTCCCTTTCAACAGCAAAGCACTCAGCAAAATTCTGTTGGTGATGTTTGTCTAACTGCTCTACGCGAAATAGTTTCACTGTCATACACAACAAGGTGATTGTCGTTGGAGTTTTATTATCAAGTTTGTGTTCCCAGCATATAATGCAGCTTCCACGCATCTCAGAGTGCTCAGTTTTAATCAATTTAAAGGCACACAAAGCCTAAAATCTTATCAATTCGTTTATGGAACTCCTGGTAGCATTAAATTTCAAGAAGACAACGAAGATTAAAGATGCAGAAATTACAACTTACGAGTTGTCTTTGCTACTAATCTCATGACTTAGCCTGGTGCATTTTAGTGTCGTTTTGCTATGCAAATGCAATTGAATAGAACACACCGCAGCTAAATTTACTAGAAATATTCTAACTAGTGTTGCTTCTATGACAAAATTACAGTATTTAACCACGTTCGAATGCGAGGCTTTGTTAAATATAACATGACAAGGTAAAATGTCTTTCATCGGTTTCTACGTTAGCCCTAAACTATCCTTCCATTGGTTAAATATCAAACGTCCACTTATCAAATGTACAAATTCCTGAGTCATGCCAAACACAGACCTACACTTCATGTATGATCTAGATTATCATGTAAGATTTTCAACCTACTGTAACTTTATCTCGACATTCGTGACCTCTGAACCTAAGTATCACCAGTCTAGTGCTCGCAAAGAGTCCGTTTGGTTCAATTTGTCACGCTCGTCGCCAGATTTAGTAAGGTAATTTGGAGACATCGTTTGGGAGTTCCGTAAAGTTTCTCCTCCCCTACTTAAGTTAATCCATTTGCGACAAGTGAAAGGAGTGCAAATTCGTGTGGGAAAAACCACTTCTGTCTTGCAGCTTCCTCGAAGTTAAGTTTCAGGGCGCCACAGCCAACTATGTGCCACGTAGCGAGGCTTGCCGTAAACGCAGACTAATGGTGTCAGGGTGTGTGATGTGGAGAAGGCAGAGGGACTGCCTCCCAGAATAACTTGGTGACAGAAGGTAAATGAGACGCCTTTTCGTTTGATGCATCGAGCAATGAAATGGGACCTGGATCTCAGTAATCTGCCCAGCCACAAACATAATAGTACCACTTTGTCGGAATCTGATGTGGTTCCTAAGCAACAAGGTTGCTTACTTGGTGTCACCAGTCAAATGAACTAGTAGGCCGGGACGGTCAACTCTCTTTGTGTAAAGACATTCGGACTACTGTTGGGTGGCGTGGAAATCCACTCTAGAGAGCCTAACACCTTTGATATCAAAATTAGCAAAGTCGTAACACGGAGACAAAGGAAGTAGCGAGCTGCCTCTGATTATGCATGTGGTTGTTTTCGGTATTTGGAACATGTCATTCACTCCTCTAACATTCCAAGTTCTGGCGAAACCCAAGGCAATGGCCTTATTTCCTCCTTGAACTTTATCACTAATTAGGATGTTCGCTTTTTAAAGCCATTTCCATGATCAAACTTCTTAAAATGTCTACTAAAGTTCGTGGTTCTTGTTCAATATTCATGTCACATTCCTAACCGGCTCGCTGTATGACTCCGCTCCATAGTCGAGTTACCCTGATGACAAATGTCACCGACGTTTTGAGTTGTGAAAAATGCTCGAGTTTCACGACCATAAAAGCGGCATTCGTCATTGACCAGTCTCTAGCCAATGGCGGAAATCATTCTCCCAACAAACTCTTGTGACATGAAACAGCTGCCCGTCCGGTCAGGTCTAGGCTTTGAGAAAAGCCGAAGAGTCTGTGATCTGACTCATGCTTTCACTTCAGTTGTGCTGTTGAATCTTGTTGGTTTATGGTGGGCGAACGTATCTTAACACCTGCCGTGAACAACCCCCGCCCCAAATAATAAAGTCAGTTATCACCTGTCTTTGAAGGTCAAACAGCATCAATATTCTCAATTAACCCTACAGTTCTGCCGAAACACGTACTTCCTGGGACGAAATTCAGATAGTGGGCTTGTGCAAATAGGACCATTTATTTGTTAGTTCTGTTGCTATCACAAAAGTCACCAACTATCAACCAAAACACGAGGCTCAGTGTGAGCGTGAGTGAAAAGGAGACCACTACCACAGTGGCAACGCCCTTTAGCCAGCTAATTGGGGCAACTGCACACGGCGCAGAGGACGGTGAGGAGGGGACGCGTCTGGCGGATAATATAGTGCCCCCCACCCCCACCACGGTGTGCATGAAACGCTCTCCCCTCGCCTACTCCCCCCACCCCATCCGGGCTTCGCGCGAAGAGAACAACCCATCTACCCTAATCAGAGGTGACAACAACCTTTTAGACCAGTGGGTGGGGTGTCATGCGAGGATGCGGTGGGGCGAGGTGAGGCTGGGCATCGCCATGGTGACCGCAAATAGAGATTCAATAATTCATACCTATGTGTGGTCTAATTAAACTGAACTAGAACATACAACCTAATGGGTGCTGTTAGGCGAAGAGCTAAGCGGTATTGGGCAAAATGTCTCATGTGTGATTGGCTTTAAGCGCATGCCCTTGGGGATTTGAGAAGCGACGCCTTAATTTTGACTGATTCCAGATTACTCTGTTGGTCATTCCCTGGGTCACCTGCTTTAAATGGCCCTTGAAAAGACCGAATTTAGGCAATGCTAAACTTGGTTGTTAAAATAGTATTTAAACCATGATGGTGCCCAAGGGGTCGTGGTGCGTCGATTATCGTGGTAAAATTCGACCCATCCAAGTCTGACATTTCCTGTGTAAGGTTGAATCGGCGTACACTATACCTTAGCTTTTAAATCTTCTCAATGAATACCTTTCGAAAACATGGGCATCAACCATCATCATATGCATCGCACCCACAATTAACCTACCTGTTTTTGTTCATGCACGCTTTTAAAAATTTTGATAAAATTTAACTGAATGATCACTAAGTTTCAAGTACTGCACCAGATGCAAGAAAACAGTATTCTCCAGAAATGACTGCTCTTGCAATGCGGCTGTGCTTACACAACTGTGTCTTGATCCAGGCTGCTGTACTCGAAGGTCGTGGAATCCATGAAGGTGAGGGTGGAATTGGAGAGGTGTCCTACTTCAAAACCCCTACTGTATTTTCGACGTAATGCAGGGCTGGTCGGCGATCGTGCTATATTTATGCTCTGCTTAGTGTACAAAACTGTCTAGTCAGAAGTGGCCGGCTGCAACGCAGCCTCTGGTATATGAGGGGATGTAAATATGATTTATGTTTGCAAGAGAGACTGGCGGCATGTCCTCACGCACCACAAAACAAACAAAAGTCAACACTTTGCTAACCCTTCCCTCGGATTGCCCATCCCTCCCTTCGGGACGAAACCCGGTCGTTAGCACCACCTGCCACAAGGTCCAAAGGGCTTCCCCTGGCTGCGTGTGCGTGTGTGTGAATGGATCTTGCCATCTGTTCAAGTATTTTGTGGTTTTGTGTGATATTATTTGCATTAACCGGCCGAGACTATTTATTAGATCTTATCTGCCTGCCAACCTCCCCACACACACACACACACACACCACGCACCGACTAAATGTGATGTCAGAGTCTTTGGTACATTTCGTTAACCGATCACTATAAAAGTGACCTTGACGCAGCGTGTGTCTAGGAAGCGCCCCAGCCGTCTATCAGACATACGAGTTCCGTTTATCAGAACAACATGGGTTCTCAGACATACCCTAGTGAGCACCTGCCCTTCTTTTCATCGATTTCTGGGCTGTCGCATTTTGACAGACTAATGTTTGCAGCACGAATTTGCTCTCACTTCATTCTTGTAGGCATTAATACTTCTTGTTAAGTACGATCTGTATCACAAATGAAGGTATTCGATCACAATCCTCGACGTCCTTTCATATTTAATTAGTATTTTGCCCACTTAAATGTGATACCAATTACAGGCAAAGAGTAAAGCATCAACTTGTGTGCAATTTGTGAATTAACCGGAACACCTCCAAAGTGTGGCCTTTCACGCAGCGAGACCATTTCGAATCCTTCATCAATCGTTTGGCTACTGAAGACAAAAAGTGCTTCACATTCTTGCACACCCGAAGGAATTCGCGTCAAGTTTGCATATTTCAAATGTTGCTGGCGCTACTACCTAACAGCTTCTCAGACATAACAGCCTGAATGGTTGAGAATACGGTAATCTGTCCAATGTCCGACTGCACATCGCAGGACGAACGCCCTCGATGCCGAAGTTACATTGGGTGGGAGATGCCGCTTCAACCTTGGCGTAAACAATGCTTGTTTACAAGCCTTGCTCAGACAAACGCACCGGGGTCGATCACTTGAAAGCCAAAAGGCAGCCTGGACATGCAGGCTTTGCGAAGCCAAATGGCCGTGTTGCATGCGTTATTCTGATCAACAAAGATGGATCCTTAACAAGTGTATGGCAACAAAAAAGTTTAAAAGATCGGACAAATTAAACCAGTTACCTAAATACGACCTTAAATTATTACCTTGATGCTTGGTACAATCGTATATTTGTCCACTGGTTGCTTCAGGGACCATTAGAACGTTCCTGTTTTATTCGTCTTATCAGTAGTATTATTAGTAAGCTGTTGTGGTAATAGATCTAGCAAAACTAGTTGATGTTGTTGTTGAGACAACCACAGTGAATTTCCGGCAAGAAAGTTGGAAAATAGATATGGAGCAACAGAGAGGTAAAGCTGATATTCGCCTCCTACACCTTTCGATTCGATTAAAACAAACCCGCCTGCACCCTAGCCCGACTTTCCTCTCTGGCAGTGCAACCGCCTTAATCCATTCCTGTCCATTCAGCAAGCTACAGATGCTATCTAAAAAAGCATCTCAAGCACTTTCTAGGAGGTCTTAAATAGGCCCCCTTTCTTTCCATCCACTCTAGAGGGATCGGGTGCTATCGGCCTGGGTAATCTTGTTTCGGCTGTTGACCATTGAGGTGGTCAGACGCATGCACTCAGCCGAGGGGAGCAAGTACGATAACATCAGTGTTAACACTACTCACCTGGGAGGGTGAGACGCAGTCGTTGTTGGGGCGCTTCTCCCCACCCCAGTGCTGCAATTAATATGCTTTCCTTTACGACGATTATCTTAGTACCTGTCTTAAGTGTACCATCCAGACAAATCATGGGAAATGCGCTAACAGCAGAAGAATTACTCTCTTTTACAGAAGGTCTAGTACCAGTCGGCCTGGGTTGTGCACAATCCCATTTGAAGTGGCAACCGAAGATTCAATGCCACATGAATCGGTAACCGTTGCAAGCACTAGTTTTTTTGCAGTTTGTGATATTTAAGTAGCAGGTGGAGTTCTTCTTTGTTTACTTAGGGTCCATAGGAAATGCAGACAAGTATGACCATTCGGGACACAGTGATTGGATAAACAAAACTGCTGTCCTTTCTCGCCGTATGGCTGCATATCTGTCGTGATATTTATACCCTTAAAGTGTGAGGAGTGCTCACTTCGTAGATTGACGCGAACAAACGTCCAGTTACATTGGCTACTATCGAAAATGATCGAGGTGTAAGTCGAATTTTCGGCTAATGACCCACGCGTGTTACCAGGTCTCCAGCAATTAATATATCTGCAAGCACAGGCAACAAGTCTCACTGTTCATCAATGATGATGAATTGGCTCCCAAGTTGAGACGCATTTCAGATTAAGACTGACCTATTAGGTTGTTGCATTCGATGTACTACTGTTGAGGTAGCCAAGTCAAATATAGCTGTGTGAGCAGTACTCCTGTTCGCACACGTGTTCCCACAAAGTTAATTAATTATCGGGACGATGCGCGTCCTCATGCCATCGAGTGCCCACTAGTGTGGGACCCTTTTCGCCTCAAAGCGTTTTCACTTCAAAGAAAAGGGTCATGGTCTTATTTTCACTGATAAAAACAGGTGATGGGACGTTGGAAAGATTGCCGGAAGCTCGAATTCTGCTATAGCCTCAGACGCCAGCTTGGGGCAGGATATTTAAGTTGTGTATTACTCACTTGGGAACACTCAAGGCCGAAAGAGCTTGTTTATTCGTCTTGGATATTTGTCAAATAGGATTAAAGGTTTGAGTTTAAGTGGGTGTCATAAGTATTTCGATTGTCCTTATCACATCAAATCCACACGTGATTGGTTGCTATATACGCACCAATTGCCTGTAAAATGACGTTGAAAGCCAATAATACTTGTTCAATAACTTCACGATTGGCTCACTCGACATCATTTGGTTTTGGTCAAATGCAGATACTTCGCTTGGATTTTTTTTCCTACCAAAAAATAAGATTCTTGCAAGTCCACGTATCTTGCATTTCCATAATCGGTATCAATATGGCAACAGTGAAATGCGTGAGAAGACGACGAATCGAGATGACAATGTCAAATGTGACCGCAAAACTGGAGACATGTAACGTCACCTTCAGCCTCACCCCTTTTTGTGGCGGTGGGGGGGTGCGGGGGAGGGTGTGTTACCTTTCTTCCGTTGCTATTGCCGCCTCTTTTTGGGACATAAAAACCTGAAGTCGCCTTTTTCACGCACCCTTTGCATCTCCGTTTACAACACCTAGGCTGGTGCTGAAGGTAGCCAGCCATGAAAAGTATACATATTGTGATAGCCTCAAACAATGACAGTCAACTTTAGGTCGTGCCAAAATATAATCTTTAAAAGTATCCATGGCGTGCTAGATTACGTCAGGATTGCTTTCTCTAATAATTGAGCCTTACCCAAGATTAGGATCCTGAAAGATAAAGCATTGCCTTTCTTGGAAAGTAACGCGAGTCATAGTGCCTTGAAGCACACGTCGATTGGTATATTAGAAAAAAAAATCCTTTTCCACAAACTTCAACACCCTAATGGTGCTCAAGCCTAGGAGAAAGCGTTCACAATCTAGTTTAGCTTTACCTGTGACTGATGACGGCTGCTGGTGGCTTGTCAAAATTTCAGTTTTAAGTAGTTTCCCTTGAAGCATTGGTCGGAGGACAAAAAATCTGACCTGAAGGCCTCATGCTCTTCCAAGATCTGCCTTACCTTGTTTAATTAAGCCCCTATATACTGCAGCCAAAGTTACAGATCACTGCTGTTACGAGGTCTTCAGCCGCCCTCAATTTCAAATTACTTTGACCAAATGATTATGGTATTCCGGAGTTGTGGCACCTGTGGTTCTTCAGTCACAAACCTACAAGCTACCGGATTTGATAGTTCATGAAGTGTGTCGCATTTTTTATGACGTCAATAAGCAGGATGTTTAATCAACAGGAAGGATCGACAGGAATTTTCTGTGCATATATTTTGTAAACAGAGGTCTATACGTATACTAATTCGAATGAGTTTGGAAAGACTGATGCAGCGAAGTTGGTGAAGCCGGAACCCACATGCCTCCGTTTTCCATCTTGCGACTCTTGAACAAAGTGAGAGCTTGCAGCGTTGTACCGTAAAGGCTTTCCTCTCTTGCATCTCTTAGCCACACTAGGGTGTTCGCATCCAGGACATTTCTGGCTGGTAAGCATCTTTTAGCTGCTCTTCCCACAAAACCGTAACACAAAATGCTTAAGTTGTGTATTGGGAGCAGAACCAAACCGATCCCATTGTGATATTTTGATTTCATTTGTTTTGCATCCCTTAGTCGTGTACTGTTACACATTTGCCTCATCCCGTCGTCTGTACTTCTACATATCGCGCAGGAGGTTAAGCCTGTCTGCAAGACCCATTCAGGGACCTAGATGAAGCTCAACAAGGGAGATGTGTGACGTGTTGCGTAGTTCCCTCACTTGCTTTCCGCAATGCCTCGTTCTTTTCTGCCCCGTCAGTTCTCTTGTGCACGGCGCCGTTTTGTCTGCCCTAATTACCCCTACCTTCCCACGGCCTGTCACTAACGCAAAGCATAGATCACGCATGCGGGCCTCGTACTCTCCATGCGTGGTGAGATAGACACACACACGTGCACGAGCGCCTGTCCGTCTATCACTCGCAAAGCCGCCGATACTAATACATGTACGCGTAATGCGGACATACGCGCACGACTAACGGAGCGCGGTGACGTAGGTTCCGCTCCCCCACCGGTATATTCGCGAATAAGCACGCCACTCTCCCCCCACGCTTCCGCCAGCATCTCCGACCCCCCTCTGTCTGGCCCTCTTCGTTGCTCAGCTGACGCGCGCGTGCATGCGCACAGCCACATTACAGTCTCTCTTTCAGCTAGTGCGTTCTTATTGGCGTCAAGATCGCCTCGTTGCGCCTGCTGGAAGCAGGCGGTGGCTTCCAGTAGCCAATCGCTGCGTGCCCGCGTATCAGCCGTGCGGTCGTGCCTCCACACAAAGTTAAAATAGCCTGTGTTGTACTGCAACACAGAGTACTACTGACAATACAACTTTTCGCCCAGACAACAACTCGACGAGTGGAAATCCTTGGTAGTACGTGTTTATCAGAGACTGGTAAGTCACTCTTTGGCATTCTGCTTTATAAACATGTTGTGTATTGTGAATGGTACCACAAAACGTAGGTCCCTACTCAAGGATGTGTTTCCATGCGGGAGTTTAATCAGAGCCACTTGGTGCTACTACTTGTCCTTTCAGTCGATGTTTTTCTTAAACTTAAACATGCTTCATATAGACCCGATCATATCCACTTCTTTGTGTTCGCTATGTCCAGAAGAACTAGATCACTTCATTGAAAGTTTACTGCGTAATTTTTAAAAAGACCAGCTTGTCCCAGATCTATAAAATGTATGAGTTTGTAGAATTCATTTGCCCGCATTGTTTAAACCACTCCTGGTTTGTTAGGACTTTAGTTATTTTAATTCGGACAACTAACTCGTTTTAGATCTAAACCAATATCGTGCACGACCACGCAGATGTTATGGTGGACGTATGTTAGGCACATTCCATAGAACAGCTTCCTTCTTAGTGGCTATTTTTTGGCAACTTTCTTGCCTAGGAAACCATGTCAAACGTTAGTCTTTATACCCATATCTGTGAAATCGACAGGCCTTAATAACTTACTGTGGAGGAGAGCACAGATTACAGGAGAATCATTCAAGCAGCAAAATTTTGAAAAATTTCGATTAGTTTTTGACAATGAGCTAGTAGCTTGGATAGCTTTAGTCCGGAGCATCCCAATAACACACTAGGACCTTCGAAACAGCCAGTAAGAGGATGTTTCGAATTGCAAGACAAGCTACTGCGCCTAGAGTGGTACTGCGATCCGTTTCACAATGAACTCTTGCACTCTCGTTCTAAACAATTAACCACACTTCGAAGGCAGCTTGCTATCCTAAAGCAATCCAATTAATTGTTAGTTTACTAACATAACTGCAGACACTTGCTCAAGCGTTTTACTCCTCTTTTCATGGCTAAAAATGGTTAGCATTGACTAACCGTAATTACGAATAAACCACCCATTTTGGCTATAGGCTCCATAAAGCCACCAATTACTGGCAAAAGGAAGAGATATTGTAGCAATTTACCCCCATTTTTTTCAACTTAACGAGAATACCCTTTCCGGCTCCCTTCGCAAATACCCTAACCGTGCACACCCCTCGCTTTGTCTTTGTGTGACACTTCTATCTCAAGTGGGTGAGATTTGATAATTACAGGAGAGCCATGTTAACACGTCTGTTACCAAAACACGAGCAGCAAAATTGTTCTTCCTCGTTGCAAGGCAGTTTGAATGGTGAGGACTGCTGGAGTGAGAAACATAGTGTGTGCGTGATGACGCGAAAGCACTGCCCCAGGCTCTGTTGTGAGACTTGCAACATCTAGGGTCTATCTGAAAGCAACGATTCACCGCTAGACTACAGTCACTGTCAATTTAAACAAAATGTTTTCAAATTCAACGTGGTGAGCTATTGAACTCGTGCTAACAGAGCCGTTAACTGGTTAGGAAGAATCGGAGGCAGGAAAATAACAAGTAGAATACTGCAAATATGTAAATGGAACATAACTATGAGGTACAAATCCGTGGTTGCTTTTAAGATGGCACAGGAACCAGCTTTCCCATTGTCATTTCAATGCAACCAAAACTGAGGTCGACGTCAGCAAGGGTATTTCCAAAATCTCTCTTCTGTTATAACTGACAATTGGATCCAACCTTGGTAAATCAAAGTAGTGATAGAGTGAGACAGTTAAAAGCAGTGCCTCGAAGTGTTCTTACCACTGACAGTTTGCTCGAAATTCAACTATTGATGGCGGAAACTTATCCGAAGACAGCCAAGGTTATTGAACCTGAAGTATGGATTGATTTAACATGATCTCTTGGGTTAGCAGCGTTACCGATAAGCGAAGAAGCCGCTACCTGAAAAATCTCAAGTAGAAAACTGTGCGCTCCTATGTCACACTGGGACTACAGACCCGAAGGTTACATGCTGGAATCTTGTCGAGGTCGGAGAGCAGAAGAGCTAAATACGAGTTGCTCTCGTGGCTGCGAACTTCAAAGGCCTGCTGTACACGGGACTCGCATAAGGCATCGCACTGTTTATCTCACAAGCAGGCGAACTACTTGGCGCTTAGTTTTAACTGCCGCGGTTCAAGAACTCCGATGCGTAAAGAGCCCGAGCCATCGCAACGCACATAAATCCATCACACACACACACACGCGCGCGAATTGTCTTAGTAAACAATGTGACCACAACTTGCACCACCGTACCCGCTTACAACATCCGCCCAGATACGCAATAGTAGTAGTAGTAGGCGCACACACGCACAAGCACACATACACAATGGACAGCGCCATTTGTGAGGCGTAGGCACGATATTACAGGCCATTGACAGTGCGCGCACTGCATTCAGGTTAAATAAGTGAGCGGGCGTGGCTGTATGTCGCCAAGGCAAAATTTACTATTACGGTCAGCGCCCCCACCTCTCTCTGGTTGCGCTTCGAGGTGGGGGAGTGAATAAATGGCCTGGTTGTTAATTGTTTAATTCTTTTGTGCACCGGGTATTGTCTACGCTAGTGTAAACACTGCCAGCAGAGATTTCTGTGAAACCTCTTCCGCATTCAACGCTGTCGTCTACCAGCTTGTCAGGCGATTTACGAGGCTGAGAACCCGTAGCGTCGGTAGGCACTTTCACTCGCTCGAAGCACAAAATTTTTGGTTTGATCTGCCTTTTGGATTGTGGTATATCATTGAAGCTGACACTTGTATGAAGTACTGGAAAGTTGAGCATTTGGGTGAATTGTGAATGTCGCTCTCATTTAGGCAGCACAATGACCAGCCAAGAGACCTACTTCTCAGCCAATCGGTTCCTCTTTCCGTGTGTCAAGCCCAGCCAATCGTCACACGAGAGCGTAGACTCGGGATGCTGTGACATCGAGACTCCGCTGAACTCCCGCTCAAAGACGTTTGACACCGTTAGCCTAATCAACACTTCACCAACGTTGCTGCACCAGTCATTCCACTCACGTGCGCCAGCCTTCCCTTCACCTCCACTGAAGCAACCGCCGCCGCCACCGCCGCTGCCGCAGAAACGATCCACCCTCAGGAAAGACGAGTCACACAACGGAACTGCAACGGGCGCCTCGTACAAGTACCTCACCTGGAGGGAGAAGGACCGACGTCGGCGATTTCGAGAGGAATGGAAACATTTGTGGCTGGTCGTGCCCTATGGCTCATACGAGGTGGGTTGTGTTTCCAGCCTGTCCCAATCACGTGGTCCATACCGCAAAAATTTGAGTCACTGTGCTTTTTCGGTACGAATTGTGGGGACAGATGTTTTAGTCGTTTTGTAAGGAGTTACGCTGTTAACCCAGAGCGCCATATGGAGGTGGGTTTTGGGGTTGAGGTGATTTAAAAACGACTCTTCGTGCAAGTCAGAGAAATGCGCACACTACTTAGGTCCTACGAGATTTCGTGGCTTCTGTTTGATGAACAGTCGATAGAGGGGGCTGCTTTTCCATTAAGCATTCCACTCAGTAGACTTCACGAATGACAGTTCCGTTATCAGACGCAATTAGTGACCACAACAGGGTGAGTGTCTACCAGGGAATATTCATCATTTTTGCAAACATCTGCACCACTTTCGAAACCGCATCAATTCACCCTGGCGACATGCCAGTAAAGTAACTCATCGCTGTGGCTTCGAATGCGTGTCGTTAATTTCCAATCAAATTGCCTGTTACGGTTGGATTACTTTTCAGTATCCACTGACGGCAATGTGATTAAGTAGCTAATTTTAGGCAAAAGATTTGTGTCTGGGTGACCTTTAGGCATCAGATCGGGTTCCTTATCTAACTTGCAACGCATTGGGAGTAAAAATTAAATTCCACCTAATGCCAGGTGTTAATAAGTAGTAATAGTAAATTTTAATGTCATTCAAAATTTAAGTGCGAAAATCAGTTTTAGGCCCTGTTTGTCCACCACCCAACTAAGAAACCGAAGCAAGGTACTTTAGCTTACGTAGTACAAATTTACTTCTCATCTACACCCCTACCTAGCGCATGGTCGATGCACTTAAATGAGGCGCGTGTCAATATTAAGATCGTTCTCGTCGTTATTGCAATTTGGTAAATTCAGAAGGAATCGAGATGCCATGTCCCAAAGCTGTCGAGCTAATTACGATTTCCTCTTTTGTTGCCAATCCACATCAACTAAAGTCTGAATGGTGAGAAACCCCTTTGGGAGACGGTTTGCACCTGGTTTTACAACCTACAGATTAATCATGAAATGCCGTCACTCGTTTGCAAACATCTGTGGGTGGCAGCGACCTCAGTTGACCACATTAAAACGTCCGAGCCTCCACAAAAACGCCATAACGCCACCAACAGCTGACGAGGCTTTTAGGCGTCGATGTGTTGTCGAGACAGTGCACCTACTGGGACGTCACCTTAAATGCTTTGCAAGGTTACGTAAAGGCTTCTGAGGCACGTTGCTTGCGAGAAACACACATCACCTGCCCAGAATGGTTTATTTTGCTGGCTCTAGCAGGAGTCGTGACTTATTAGGCTTTGGAAAACGTTTCATGCATGTTTTGATTTAGTTTCCCTATAAAGAGACTGGGAAAAATGACAATTGAGTGCCGTAGAGTTGTACCAAAACCGACGTCATGGCCAAGACGTACATTTCTGCCCAGGAGAACATCGTGAGGGCGCTTTGGTACAAAGACAGCTGATTTATTTTGTCGAGTAGTGCGGCGAATCCAAAACGCCCTCCCATTCAAGTAAACTGCCACCTAACAGCTGACAACAGCCTTTAGGCGCCAACGTGTCTACTGTGTCCGAAGGGGGGTGGGGGAATGGCGACGCTATTGGTGTCTCCCCTGTGAGGGAGGGTGTGATAATGAACAGTTGTCTACTCCGGTGGCAGGCGCGCGGGCGCCAGTATTTCTGGTTTGGGTGACACTGCGGTTATTTTGTGCTGTGACTCATTTGGTTACACAGCAGATGCATATGTGGGGAATTTTGCGTCGTTACCCCGTCATTCAGCAATGGGAAAATCGACCCACCCGGATAAAAAAGTGGTGCATCTGAGTGTGCAGCGTCTCCTTAGCAGAACCACCTCGCCAATCCAGCGTTTGATTGTCGCCTTTCAAAACCACACTAACTACTCTCTAAAGCAAAATAGCAGTGAAAGAGCTCGTAACTTGTTTTGATGCAGCCCAGCTTTTATTATTGCCAAATCAGTTAATCATGACCTCCAAGAATCGGCAGTAAATAAGAAATACATTCGTAGATTTAGCAAACAAGTGTAGTTTGTCATTCGGAAGGCTACGCCTGCACCATTTGCGTCACTAGTATCAAGTTAAAGGGTTTTAAGTAATACTGTCAACGAGTCACATTGTGTGAACGATAAATTGTGGGACTTATCTCACCAACTACCTTTGACTAGCAAACTCTTCTGTCCTCGACGCACGACAGAAGATGCTTTGTGATGTGTAGACGCGGTGAATGAAATCTGTTTGTTCTTCTAGGTGATGTGCCTAGTATGCCACAAGATAATGACCCAGAGGAAACTGGACACAATAAAACGCCACACAATCCGCCGGCACGCGGAACTTCTCTCCATGTCGGAAATGGAGCGCCAACGTCTCTACCATGACCTTGTAACTCAACGTCTTCGCCGCGCAGGTGGCAGTGGTGGCTCGTCTCAGGGAAATTTTTGTGGCGCCGACGGCGACCCGTTTTGTGTCAGTGGGCTCCCTGGCCTGTCCACTGCAAGACTTCGACAGGAAGCCTCTAAGAGTGATCGCGGAGAGGGTATGGTGAGGAGGCATTCTCGTTTGCCTCCAGAAATTCCTCCATCCCCATTCAAAGCTCGCATGAGTGTGCCACGGAGGCCTGAAGGCGAAAAACAGCCTCTACTGCCACCCAACGAGCAGACCAAATCCTCTACAGCAATGCCACACATAAAAGCCATAGAAGGCATTTTATCCCAAGGACACCTCCAGTCACTGTTTGCTAAGTACCTAATGGGATTTCCGCCTCCACAGGTAAGCGATTAGGTCGAGGAAAACTTGCCACATTCATTAAATCCTAAATCTAATTATCTAACCCTACGTTCAGATACCACCGTGCAAACGGTTAGATGTGCCTCCTGGTCCAATTTGGCGAAGACCTCCGGTACAGCACACTTGCGGAATGGGAACGCCCCATGCCTTCTACCATTTCAAGAAGATCCCTTCAGGCTCCACGTCCACCCACAGAAACCTCCTTGACTTTGAGTCATTTGGCGCTAGGGCTCCGTTAGACATGTCTACATCTGCCACAAGTCAAATTCAGGCATTTCCAAACGACCTATCAATGAAAAGATGTTCCTCCACAACCCCTGACGGTGGCACCTCGTTGACTGAGCGGCTGGTGAGGCTTGTAAGTACCTGGGACACGGCTGCATTTGGTCCAAGGAACCATCCACCACCACCACCTCCTCCTCCACCACCCCCACCACAGCCAGATGCCGCTGCGCTTTTGCTCAATCGTTGAAAGTGCTTCAAGAAGATCATGTTTCGCAGTTCCGAACACACAAACACTTGCCCTTCGAGCACAACTATGTCTTTCATTTAGGCACCACCACTACCACCTCGAAGTTTCTGTACATACTGTCATAGATATATCATTTAACTTACTTGCAGTATAAAAATGCTTACTGAGAATCGTGAGGCCTTGTTTTCTAACTGGATCGGATCGCTCTAGCAAACCCGGGCATATTGCTGGTACACATACACAGAAAGTTGACAAGCAGGCAGTTTTGTTGCCATTTAGTTTTCAGACAGAAAGTTCTGTGATTTAGTAAACCCCAAGGTTGTTGCGACTTAAGATTCGCGAAAACGCACTCACGCTGTACTAAATATTACCATTTTTGATGGCGCTGTTAAACTTGCATCCGCTACACCTGGTCCACCCATTCTATTGTTTTACCCTGTTTCTGTTGGCTGTTTCTTCGGGATTCAAATCGAAAAACGGCACAAGGGACTCCTCATTAGTTTCCATCTTGATTAGCTAGGTGTTGGCTCGTAATTATTGCGTTGGCCTTGAAAGCGTGATGCCATCATCCGTGATTGGGTGAAGCGTGAAGACGCAGAATGCCAGGAGTCAACCGATCCTTACTCCAATCTTAATCTGTCCATCCGTATCCTCACGAGATTCAAGACAAACTAGTCACATGTTTCGAAAGTAGAAACCTCCGTATTAGACAAATGAAGAGTTAGATGAATCCATTGTACGAGGGAGTCTTGCACCCCCGAACCGGTCCACCGAAAAATTTACAACTGGAAGGTAAACGCTTTAAATTTACGGTGTGGTAACACCCATGTAACCAAACATTCGATACACACTTTTAAACACTTACATCGAGGAAGGATGTTGTCTGCTCTGAACCGATCCATACAGTTTAATGTTTACATGAAGCAGTGCCTTCCTTTCTTTAAAATGCATTCAAGCACCATGCATTAGGCAAATCCTTTTACAGTTCCTAACTAAGCTCTGGTGAATGTAGGTTGTCTCATCTCCACCGCGAAAGAGCTTCGAGGTGAACTAAAGATGCCGTTACGAGTGTCTGAAAGACAGCATCAAGTTATCTCGTGTTCCTTCGTGCTTTCACAATCTTCGGTCGATTTCCATCTTGTATCCTTCCGACAAATGCAGGTTTCTATCAATGAGGAAAGACAGCTTGTCAAATTCGGTTTGCCATCAGATCTCCTAAGTTTTTGTAAATAAATGCACTTGAAGTTAATCGTGGAAATCACTTTCTGCACATAAACAATTTTGCCTGTTACTGGCTTTTTGTGACCTTTTGTCATAAAACTAGCGGTTCTGAATAGCCAAACACCATCTTCGTATTGTTGTGATAGCTGATAATCACGGTGGCTGAAGTCAATTTAGTGCACTGGCGACTTGAAAATACAGTAAATTCACGACCTACTAACCTAGCCACTGGCGCGCTATCGCCGATTCGACATCTGTAAAAACTGGGCCTGATCCGGACATAACATCAAGCAAAGTGAAAGCAACTGCCATTTCAAACCATACTGTTTGCAGTGATATGACAGTCTGGTTCTACACGAGCAAAACGGTCTAGTATAAGCTATCTCTAATACGTTGTTAACGGAAGAAACAACAGTTGACTGAATGAATCAACTTCATAATGCGTCAGATTTTCAACATTGAGGTTCTTTTGGGTTTCTGGATAAATAAAATTGATTGAAGGATTTTGATTTGAACGTAATGCACCATCTTGGTCAACTAAAATGATATTTAGGCCTGCTATTTAGAGTCGAGGTAATATGGCGTTTCCTTATATCCTATATGGCGTCTCTTGTCTCTAATTTTGGTGTTTGGGGTCTTAGCTACGTAGACATTTGGGCTTGGCATCCTATCAATGACTTGCGCTGTGGTGTCTAAGTGCTCGTTAATCTTAAGATCGAGGAAAAAGTGAGGGAAGGAGAGGAACCCGCATCAATAAGCACCAGAGTTCACAATGTAATTTGTGTGAGGGTGAATTCCCAAGTGCAACAGGTGTTTCGAGAGATGCTGTGTCAGCAACAAGCCTCTGAGACCCTATCCAATGTCTCACATTGTGCCTCTGTCGCTATCTCGGGCCCCACAATTGGCCAATGAGCCACAGACTATAGCGTGGGTTCATTTCGCCGTACTCTTTGTTTGATATTACTCACTGTGACGTAATCAGAACTTGGCATTTCGATTGACCTGATGGCACTTTTCCAGGCGACACTATTTTCCGGTCGCAAACTCAAGGTCATGTCTGATTATCAGACTGGTTCGTCGTGGTTAAACTGTCACATACCCCGGAATTCCAAGGGCTGATTTGGTAGGGTTCTAAACTTAGTCAAATTAGAGGGATCTCCCACGAAAGTGGCACTCTAGATATGAAAAATCTGTTCAACATTACGGGGACAACCATACTACAGCATTGTTTCATGTAGCAAGGAAGCTAGCCACTGACATTTGTGTGTTTAAACACGTGGTTCTGTAAATCCATGTTTTCAGGTCCAACAGTAAACAAATTATCATAAAAGTTGGCTTTTTTCGTCTGTTTCGGCTCAACACTTGTGTGAATTCGACCAGTGAAGACAAGAAATGCGTACCGTAGGTCTAAACAGTGATTTGTTATCCTAAAAATATGGTGAAAAACGAGAATGCGCCTTTTGCCTTTCCTACGACAACTTGACTCGCAGTCGGTTATCCACGCAGGAAATTACAATTTGACTTGACAGAGTGGCTACCCAGATTTAGTAGTATGAAATCTGACTTAATTTTAATCAACTTAACCAGAAGCAACGCCATGGTTACTCAAAAAGTCACGGATTTCCATCGACTGATTTGTGCCAAGCTGTTGTGCTGATGGAAAAATAGCCGTCAACCAACTCTTGGTCCAGATAGATATCGAGATCTTGACTTTTGACCTCAGTAACGAGGCATTGATCGAACAACAAGTAATTCTGCTTTCAAAATAGCGCCAAGCGTCATATGTTTTCAATAAATCACTTGCGTTAAGTTGAGACATGACGTAGAACTCGTAGAAAAAGGAATTTTTCATTTCATGCCTACTCCTGGAGCCATTTAAGCTGTTTATCCGTTTCCATATTTTTCGTGAAATGCACTCTGACAGCTGCCAAAATCCGAGAAAATTCCGACTAATTGCAGAGACAAGACGGAAAGAGGCTTCTGTGCGTGTAGTAAACAGTTTGAAAACTTACACGCGGCGTCAACTACGCCGTTAGCCACCCCACAGACGTTTTTATCATCTGATTACACAAAGTGTAAACGAAAAGGTAGATTTGGCCATAATTTGTGAGACGCATTATTTGCCTCAGTTTAGCCTAGAGACCCAAAGCCACTTTTGAAGGACAAACCAAACACGAACTCATTTTAATTACAACTAAAGGTTTCTGAATACGTAAGTCTGAATTGAAGTGACCATTACCACAGGAGACTGCAAGCTTATGCGATCGGCCTTGACCAGTTCAACCAATCAGCGTCACAAACGATGATAGATGGACGGATCAACCAGCTTAGCAAGCCGTAAAAAACACAGAGATACAACGTGGCAGTTGTTCATTATCTCAAAGACCACATCAACGCAACCCCACATTGAAGTTGCTAATTTTTCAACCAAAACCAATTTTAATAGATGTCTTAAACACAACTCAACAATTTAAATGGAAGGAGTTGGTTAATCTGAATTAAATGCTACGCGAAAGTATCAGTGGAAAAACGTAACTCAGTTTACAAGCAATATTAAACTCCTAGTTCCTCTCTATCGAGAAAAAAAATTTGCTGGGCCACTCAAATTGCCCTAACCTCCAGTCGATAGGCACAGGTTCCGATAGATTAGTTGTTTAAAGCCCTGCAATACTGCCAAACTGAGCCTAGAGTGAATGAGGCAGACTTTCAAAATGCCGAATAGCAGTCTGGTTAGTAAAAGGTCTGAATCATTGTATCAAAAGGCATCTATTCGACAAGTATCATTGGTTGCCACATTTAGCGTCAATCGTTATGAACCGATCAGGGTTAATCAATGGCATATGACTCATCTCCTTTTTTGTGGAATCATTTGGAGACCCTTTTATGTTTTCGTAAAGCTGATTTGTCCAACCACAGTTCTGACCTTTATGATGTGTAAATACTTCCATTCTTAATGATATGAGACAATTATTTTCAATGCAAAGTTCATTCTGTCGTAAGAAGTGGCATGAAGCACATCAATGTATGCTTCGATCACTTCCAGAGCGCTCAAGGCGTTTGTTTAAATTGACTCAAGGAACCGGAAATCTGGAACACCACATTTGTCCGGCTGGCTAGTATTCACAGTAAAAAGTAAAAAAGAATGATAGCCGGGCTGCTGACCACCGTCATTTTAGTAAATCTTCTTCATATGGTTAACGTTGGCATGGAGTTTGGTCTGTCCTGTGAATTTTTAGCAAAACCTCAAAACAGACGAGGTCCCATTAAACAAGCGCGAAGCAAATGGAATTCAGTCATTAAACTTGATATACAAAATGTCGGGTGAGGACTAGAAATAAAGAAGTCCTCCACCGCCCTTTTCCACCACTCTCATATATAACCTGTCAGGAGAAAAAGTTACACCGTCGCATTAACCACACAGCCAAGCGATGTACCGATGTCGTCATGGTATTTTTAACTCCAGTTCTTGCCATGTGAGGGGTACAGTCTCGGGGTGTACCGTTGCGGGCAGCCAGTCAAAAGCATTTCCTGCTAAAAGGTTGTTAATTAAGGCGTGTGGGGATACCTATTAACGACGCGTTAATGGCCCGCACCTGTGGCCAGACTGCGCTATACCAAAGTACACCCATATTCTCAGCATGAAACAGTGATAGCGTGGCGGGGCACATTAGTGCTAGGAAGGATTTTTGTGTTCATTTGGGCATTCATGTGGTTCGCCCGTAGACACCACTTCGGAGTCCGCAACTTACTGGCCAGATGAGGACCTACAGCACAGCGATTGGTCACACAAGCACGTCCAACTAAAGCAACACGTCTACTACGCTGTATAGAATTGCATGGACCTAAACGGCCTATATTTGAACTTAACAGTCATCTACGGCCGATATGAAAACGGTTCTTGTCAGCCAGTCTTCTAAGCCATGCTTGCATTTTAACTTTATATAATGCTTTAAGGAAAATGTTTAGTGGCTGCCTAGGGAGAAAAGCCAACTTCAGCTGTGAATTTGAGAAACTGAGTGATAATAAACATGGTGTTTCGGCTACCTCAAGTTGTTCTTATATTAAGGTGGTCTAAACAGTAGGTAACACCTATTTTTGGCTTCAGAGGTAACATATCTGCAGGCATCCAGTCTTTGGCAGACGTATTTTGGCACGAATTTGTGTCAAGCGTTCTATAAGCCAATTCGGTGGACATCATGGTGATTATTTGTAGCAAACTAGATTCCTGTTTGACTAGTCGGAATATCCAGGATTCTGTGACTCCCTAAATAGCCAAATGTAGGCCCCGGATAATAAATATAATTCTCCTGAAATTGAAGTTTTAATTGACGCTCAGTCTCTGTGGCCTACCGCACACAAGATAACTCGTTATTTCGTAATACCTTCACGAATTGCGAAAACCCAGCATCCCTGTCACGTAGCCAACTGGGCTGATCTCTGTCGGGCCAATATATTTACCTGAGTGTTCCTCATTAAAATGGGTCACTGATATTATGCAGCCAAGTGAAATATATTTGGGTCCACTAGCATTGACACAATTCTTTCTCTTCAGGTTAGCAAAATCGGCAAATAAGGAGACATTTTGTGAGGGATTTATCAAAGGAGCAGTTGACTTCGACACCGACAACCTGCAAGAAATATTGCGGTATCTGTGTGGGAGGAGTGAGTGGTAGTCGTGGTAACGAGCGTTTGGTGTCTGTTATTTATTGTGCACTATCAAGATGGTTTTTTTAAAAGTGACAAATAGTTGTGCCTTAATGTAGTTGGGCTGTCCATGGCAGGGCTGTCTGTCCATGACTTGAGGGGCATTTCAACATGAAAAAAAGCCACGTTGATGACCGATCTGTCGCTTGTTCGAGATTGTACTTACTGCTTTCCCTCAAAATTACAAAACATCGGTAAATTTTGGTGTTCAGTAGGAGATCATATTTTTCACCAGCGTACTCTCAAAATCCAGCTTTTTGGTGTTTCTTGAAATAATGGCCTGGATTTGGATATTGAATTGGCCTTGTGGTCTATTATCCACCCTGGTATAAAGCCCCATTTTGCCCAAGTTAAAACCCAAAGTCATTTTTTTTAAAAATACTCTGAATGTATCGGCTCCTGTCCTATTAATCCACCACCGCCGTGTGAACGGTAGCAGGTATTAGGTGTGAATGTAACTGTTAGGAACAAAATACCACAGAGCCACAATCCGTAGGTCATTGTATCGTTTCTGAATAACCTCAATTGAGGCATTTAAAACACCGATGACAAGGGTGAAGAAAACGCCTGCTGCTAATATAACCTTCTACAAACCATTTCATCAGCCTAACTGCCACAAAATGCAACGATTTTTACTATGAAGGTGATTTCATTTGAGGTGAATTTCAGGTATCAGTGTTTAAATTAATCCAAATTTATTTTTTCCGGATTATCTAAGTGCTTGCCGGCCTATAATACTGAAGCATTTGTGTGATTTAGGCAACATAGTTTTCAAAGAGCCACTTTCCAATGCGTTACTAAACTTCGCACTTATAATAATTCTACCCGACCAAAAGTTGTGGGACGGTTTGGTGCGGCGTAGTGGAACCAAACACAAGATTTACCGGGCAGATGCACTACCGTCAATCATTTTTGGTGGAGAGTCACAAGCAAGTAACTCTGGAAGGCCCAATACAGTATTCTGTTTAGTTGATGAGATTCTCTACTTTAAAGCCAATCGGGCAAACTCGTTGAATGCTTAAACCTTGAAAGTTCCTTGGTACCCTTAATAACGTTTTCTAAACCGTGATGGAACCTTCTGGCTAAAGCTGGTAACGCAATAATCAGGCGGCCACTATTATACTCGAATGAATCTTTTTATTCTGTAAATTATTTATTGAGTAAAATCAAAAGATGTGCGACGATTCCATCAGTATATGTAATAGCACCGGTGGTTAGGTGTAACGTAGACCACGCCCTGTTACTGAGGCATATGCATTAAATCTAATGGTGCGAGAATTTAAGCATGCACTCTGGGTTGAAATAACACAACTAATTATCGGAATGCATTTTTCAGCTTTCAAGCCAAATTTTATATCTGTATGTGGCTTATTCAATCTAGAAAAGAAGCTAAAGCATGAGGTCCTCAGAGTTTTGTACTGATAACCTGCTCAGGACAATTTAGTTGCATGGAACCGATAGGTAATGAGCACTAACTTATCGCCGCAGTTTAGACTCCAACTCGAAATGGGGTTTTATTCCATCACACACGAGCGTTCAATTCCTCAAAACGCATGTGCTCTTTGCTTCGAAAAAGGTAGGGTCATTTTCTGCGATGAGTTTCAAGCTATTTCTTCTTGTGTGCTTCTTACCTCAAAAGTGATTTACGTGCGTTGTCAAGGTGCCTATAAGGCTTCACTCACAAATGTCGCACTTATGGGACAAAGTACGTCAGTAAAACCATCCCTCCCAACACGTACCGAGATGGTTACTGAGTTGTTTAAGCTGGAAAAGCAACTGGGACAATCCGAAATTTTTGCAGTGTGCGCCGTTGTCGTCGTCGTCTTCGATGTCGTCGTCGCCAAAACCTTCCTTGTTGCTAGGTGGTTTGTGGGCCTGTTCCCTCTTGACGGAATTTGGGGCGAAAGTGGGCCGGCGTTTCCCATAAATACATCCGACGCTCCATCGCACCACACCTACCGAATGGATTGGCTAAATTCTTGTAAAGAGTGCCAACTCGGCTGACTTCGGTCACTTCTCGTAAGAAGTTGGAATTATGCCAAACTTAAACAATTTGTGATACTTAACTAATTGGGATACGTTCACCTTAAAACCACTGAGAGTTTTAGGACCAAATACACCTGTACTACCAATCCTATACAAAGACGGATAGTCGCTTTGAGCTAGTGTGGCCTGCTTTCTTCCCTATGTGTCCTTATTTGCTTAATCTACGTCATCATACTTTACTTTTAGTCGATTTGAAACAGTCGAACTATGGAGTACTATAGTTAGCTAGTAATATAGTGTTGCAACTTGCTTTTCATTGTTCGGGATTTTCGAGGTTTGCTAAAAGCCTTCCACAAGGCTGAACAAACTGTCCCAGTCTGAATCGGTGTTTTTACACCCATCTGCTTTCCTCAAACCATGGCTTCAAGTAGGATCAGCAAGCATTCGCTTTCTTCATTCCAATCAAACTATCCTAGTTTGGTATCTATTTTACGCAAGAATTGCTGTACAATATTGGAAAGGTCATCTTTTTCAAAAAACCCGGCTGAGAAGCGTCTGGTCTCATGGTCGGTCCTGTTTAATTTAAGTCACCATAAATTCTACAATTCTTCAAAAGTTAACAGCTCAGAGCTTAGCCTCACAAATTTCTCATTAAGGCGGAGGAATTTGTGGGTTTCTGAGATCCCTGAAACAGTAATTTTTGAAGGAAAGCGTACACCGGAATCGTCAGGCCATCTGGGACAATAATGACCGCCAACTGACCTCCACGCAAAGGTGGTCAGCACGTCTATCTGGTGGCAAGGTAATTCCGTTCTCCAAGTGGACGCCGTCTACTCCTCAGCCCAAATTTTCTCAGAGGATGTCAGATAGCTTTCTTAGGGTTGTATTTGCCTGATTCTACTTAATTGCATCCGTATTTGGATTTTGATCAGTGGAATTCCTTGGGACGAGTCAGTCAGAAATGGAAATACGAACCTTGAAGTTCCCGGAGTCTGAGTTTATGCTGGTTAGGACTACTTTAAGCCGACATTGTAGGCCCTAGAAGTATGCTTGGTTATAAAAGTAATCCGATAAAAAAACTACACGGTTTATGTCACTATTAATCAGGTGTTTGGACCGGTGAGATCTCACCAACTTATCTACAAATAGCCACCTTGGAGGCCATGCCTATGTGGACTCAAACCACATTCAAAACAACGGTCGGCTGCATCCGTGAGCAACCTACTGGCAGCCGAGTCTTTGTCCACAAAAGGACCAGCGATCGTCCAATAAGAGTTTTGACAATAATCGTGGACTTGTTAGGGCGAGATTAACATTTGGAACTCGTAACTTAGAAAATAATTAAAAATGCGGTCTTCTGAGAAAACCGCCAAAAGTGATGCAAAGAAGGAAGGACTACGAATATTAATCATCTCGTTTAGATGCTAATTGGCAAAAACCACGGCGCTTTGAAAGGGTGCGACAGACGTCCTCGTACTTGAAAGCACCAATCGCCTGCAGCTTAAACGGAAAGAATTAACTTTTCAAGAATTTGAGCCGTTTAAGGGGCGAGACGTGATGTGCAAATGATAGAGTAGTCACCTCAAAAGAGCATCATCACCCTTACTGTAAAGGACTGCTCTTCACAAGACGGCCTGATTAGAGGGTCTAGCGTGAGGCTTTAATGAGTGGGGACTAACATGACTGGCAGACGCCTCCAAGGGAACAGGGGCAGCCGAAAATCACGCTGTGATTGATAAAAGCACATTTTTCGGATTCGTCCTTTAGGGAGGTCTGCAGCGCACATAAAGCTTTATTCTCTTCATCTGATTGTTAGGTTCATGACTTAATCTTTGTAGATTTTTTCAGCTAATTTACTTCATTTAGAAAAAGAGAACAAAGAGCTTAATTCTGGAAATATTGTCGATCCTTACCATCTATTACCTTGCGCCATCTCTCAGGTAACGCGAAAGCCGTAGAGAAAGAAACTTGCAGGCTTTGAGGGTACAAATTTACTCACATCGTCCAGCGTTTCGAATCTTTTATCTACCAAGGCGTGATGTTTTGGCCGATAGAAATGATAGCCGGATGAGGCCAAGTCTAGTGAATATGTCGCGTGTGAGAGAGGATCTTCTGAGTCGCACGATCATGCAGCATCATGGCTTACCTGCTTCTTTGCCCAGTAAAAGTCTTTTATGATCAAATTCTTCGCTCAGTTTGTTCATTGGTGGGCTGTAGTATTCCGTAGTCACCGTCTGAAACCACTCTATATTAGCAAGGAACACCCGTTTGATCAGTGATTTTCCTACAAAAAATCTAAGGTGGGTGATCCAACTAACACTGTACGGAAAGCGGAACACAGAAGACTATTTCATTGGCTGGATGACTTCGATGCTTGATGTTTCAGTGGTAAGACCGAACTTGGCCCTGCTATGGGTCGAGGTGGTGGAATTCGTCCTTTTTTCTAGTCACCCTTCAATCACGAACACATCTACATTTTTAACAGAACTGCAAACCCCCTGATGGACCTGATCCATGCTCAACGTCTGTGTGGGCTACGAAGCATTGGGCAGTCTCCCGAATATATTTTTCTCAAGAATTATGCTGGCCGAAACATCCAATACACTGCCTTTCCTGTCAAATGCATCAGCGTGATTCCACGGTTTTCATCCACTCAATTTCTCACTCTGGTGCACAATCCTTACTTTCTGCAGCAATTACTTTTCCGTCTTTTTTCCCTGGTTCCTTTCAAGGCGTTTAATTTGGCCCACCGCAACTGCCCTGGCAGGCTCCGAATGGCTACAAACTTTTGTGATGCCTCAATGATTTCATTTCCGTTCCACTGTGGCACTGTGAAAAGTGTGCCGTATTTTCGAATTCCGTAAATTGTATTTCTGCATGGAGCCATGACTTTAATCATTTTCAGGTTACCGTACAGCTATGCAAACATGATAGTGGATGAGAGCACCCGTCTACTTCAGCTTCGAACTTGCAAATACCTGAGCCAACCGGCTTTAAAATGTGACATGTTTTGGAAAAAAACGGTTACTACTCGTCCAAGATTTTTGAGACGAATTTTAATGCAACTCCACTGATTACAATCGGTTCCTTAAACAACGTTAATGCCGAAAGTAGGGTCTAATGATTTTGTAGGGATGTTCCAACCAAAGCTGCTAATAATTTTTTACTTGATGCTTGGTTTCTAGACATAAACCAGGTTTATTGCCTTATTTAAGAGGAGTGTGCAGTAATTAGCAAAAACAACTGCGGTTCCAACATCGACTTTCACAATTAAAGGTATGGTTTCGGGCACGCCGTGAACAAGTGCGTCGCCACAGTACCACAATAGGCATAATTAATGCCACTTCTGTCCTCTATCCATGACCAGAGGCGTCTGAATCCGCGGTGGTTAACCATCCAGTATCGTGGGAAGACGCACTAAACAATTGTTGCCGATGCTGTTCTGTTGCCAGGGCAGGGCCTTAGTGTACAGGTAGGAGGAAGGGCAGTTGGGAGGTGGGTGAGAAAGCCCGAGAACAATGCTTTGGTTCTCCGTCATTGTATGCGTGTGTGTGTGGGAGAGAGAAAGAGAGAGGAAGAGGGAGGTTTGTCCACTGACTTCGCCTTCCCTTCACTCTCCGAAGTTGTGGGAAGAGACGGCGGTGGAGGTGGCGCCGACGTGACCCTTTAACCGACAAGTAATTACCTGTCAGCCTAGGAAGATTAATCGCCACCACAGTTACCGTGATGGTTAAATTTAAGGAAGATGATTTTTCCCCGAAGTGGACTTAGTTGTGTTACAGCCCACTATTAAGAAATGAATGAAATAACCTTAGTAGCAAATTGAATCTCCGTTTGAGCAAACATGAAAGCCTCTGAAAAAAGCTTCAAGGCATAAGAATACGAGTGGTAATGTATTGGGAAAGAAAACGGACTTTTAAAAAAATAGCAGATGAAATTGTCTAGGTGGAAGAGCTGGCTCTTGTTCTCCTGAAAGCAGGACAACTAAGCACTTTCTTGGAGTAATTTGCAGAGAACAAATACGAACTAAATACCCGTCGATTTTGCCAGGCTAATTCTGAAGAACAACCATTTTGTGATATCAAAATTTGGGGAAGGCTGAATCGTACAAATCTCTGAGTGCCTTAATTATTTAATAATCGAGCAGATGCACGATCTAGAATGCCAAACCCTTAGATTTGGCTCTCCAGTTTCAAGATATGAGTCTGAATTTTTGAAAAGCCCCATATCTGTAGCAAAAGCGTTTTTTCTAGAAAATTCGTCCATATTAAGGTTTTTACAAAAAAATTACAGTCATAATTGGTTCCGCCATTAGTCAATGCGACAACGCTACATCACAACTGACTACATTAACTATACACCCACACACACTCTCAAGGAAGATAACTTTCCAACTCCCAGAAATGACTTTCACTTTTAACGTAGTAGCTGTTGTCGATGTGTTTGCCTGTCTTGACGAAAAAAGCCTTAAACTAAAAGGCATCTGTACAAATACTGTATGACCATGATTTAAACCCCTGAAAGTTGACAACGAAGAATTTGTTGAGAAAATTGTTCGTCTTCTTTTGGCTGTATTGGAAATGAATTGAAGATTGAAACAGGCATTATCGTGGCGACCTCGAAACATGGTTTGCCTTTCCGTTTGACATCCTCAAATTGACTGGTGGTAAAAAAATCTCATTTACCCAAGTGAACAAACTGGCCCGAAACTCAGCGGAATTGATGTCTTGTCTCGGTAAACACTTTGTTATCTACTGAGAGTAGCAGTAACGTTTTTGTTTAATGTAGCTAATAAGTGAGCATGAATTGTTCAAAGAATATTAGGTTAGTCAAGTCACTCACGTACACATTTCAATGCTGCACAAGACTCTGAAGCGAATTTCAACTACGTTAAAGAGATTCGACAATGGTTCGCGTTTTACTAGCAGACTTGTGTGTTTTGCAGCTAATATTACATTTTATACACTCTGAAGTGAACAGCGCACACTGGGAGAGAATCTCCCACGTTGTATTTATTT